TTAGCGCATGGTCAGAATTAAATAACCAAACTGATTTAGGTATTGATATGTACTTGTGGAATAATACTGTAATTACGGTTGGAGGAAAGTCTATTTTCTATAGAATACTGCACAAATTTGGTATAAATTATGTATCATATCTTTTCAGACAGAATGGCGATTTCATTCTTTGGGACGAATGGCAAACACGTGGGTTATCACATTTGGGACTTATGTTGTGGAATAGGGTAGTAAGCGCTATTCCTAATATTAAAGGAAATTTTAGAATTTACGATTTTGGACTACATATCAACAATAATTTTACCAAAATTAACGAAATTGACAGCAGGAAAATACGCTTAGAGTTAATCAACAAAGTTGCCACCAGTCCTACGAGTGAAAGAAAACTGTCAGAAATATTGAATATTGACCATACTAGTATTAATTTTTCAGATGTGTATAATTTGCCATTCACCACTACAATTGATAATAGAACAAGACATTTTCAATTTAAACTAAATCATAATATTCTCTATACAAACAAAGATTTATATTTCATCAACTCTAGCCTGGTTACATCAGCAAAATGCAGTTTCTGTGAAACGTATGATGAAACATTGATTCATCTATTCTGTGAGTGTATAGTTGTGAAGACTTTCTGGCAAACTATTTCGGTGCATTTCGATCATCTGCCTGCCCTTAGTAATATGTCCAACCAAGATATTATTCTTGGGAACAAGGTTTTTTCAAAAATAACAAATCATATTATTCTTCTAGCTAAACGCCATATCTACTTTTCCAAAATGAGAAACGAAAAACCTTCTTTCCATGGATGTCTATATCTCATTAGGCAAGTTTATAATTTAGAAAAAGTGATAGCGATAGGGGGAGGCAAATTAGCGAAGCACACTGAAAAGTGGGAATCATTTAATATGCTGTGACGCTGACATACCCCTTTTTCTTTTCTTTTCTTTTCTTTTATCTTTATTTTCGTATTCTTATAATTATCCCGTTGCCATATTATTTTGTAGAAATTTTACTCTTTTGTTGGGATAAATCTATGTAATTATATATGTGGTTAACGTAAATAATAATAAAAAAAATAATAAAAACAATATTAAAGACATTATTTTAGAAGAGGTCATGTATTTCAATATAGACACAGAACAAAATTCGTTGAAGGCCACATTCCAAGCAAATTTTGTCAGCTTTAT